CGGGCGCGCCGCCTCCGCGCGTTCCTCCTCCTCTGCAGCGGCGGCGGCTCCGCTGGGCTTCCTGCTCCGTCGCCGGCGGGCGGGCCGGGGGCAGCCTGCGCGGCCGCTGAGGGGGGAAGGCTGCGCGACGTGCCCGTACGGCCCAGGTAAGGGCTCCGCGTTCTCCGCGGGGCGGCTAGGCTCCCGCTATCCCCTCCTCTCCTCACCGGGGCGGCCCCTGCTCTTCCCGCCGCCCGTCCCTCTCCTCAGCGCGGGGCAGCCAGCCTGGCGCTGGCCGCCTGCCCTCCCTCCCCTCCGCTGCCGGCTTCCCCCGAGCCGGCCGACTTCCCCGGGCCGCCTGACCCTTCTTCCCCCGGAGAGGCTGAGGCGGGACAGGGCCCCCCGGTGTGGGGCAGGGCCGGGCGGCGCCCCCCGTCCCGCCGAGCGGAGAGAGGGGTGAGGGGGGGGTGGTGGTGGGTCTGCCCTCTTCCCCTCCGCCTCCTTCCCTCGCTCTGCGCCGCCGGGCGGGGGGGCTCCGGTGGATGCGCTGGGGGCAGGGGAGGGGATGCGTGTGTTTAATTAAAAGCTGTATAGACCGTTAGGAAAAGGCGTGAGCTGATGCGGAAGGAGGCAGTGCCGCCCGTCCCGGGTTGCGGAGGGTACCTGTGGCAGCACTCGGTGCCCGCTCGGTTCCTAGCCCCCGGCGTGCTGAAGTAGGAAAAAAACCACAGTAATTCCATACTTTTTTCAGTGCTTATTTTTGGGGGTGGGGAAGTGTTACCGTGTCTTCAGTCACGTTTTTGCCGGGGGGCGTGTGTAATTCACCCCATCTCTTGAGCTTTCCCTTTTTTGCCCCCCCCACCCGTGAAAAAGGTTGAACGGTCACGTCGTGACTCCGGCGGAGATCGCACTCCGTGCCGGGCCTTCTGTATAACGCGGTGCGCGGCCCCGCTGCGCGCCCCCCTTTCCCTCCGCCGGGTCCCCGCGCAGGGTGCGCCCCCCTTTCCCTCCGCCGGGTCCCCGCGCAGGGTGCGCCCCCCTTTCCCTCCGCCGGGTCCCCGCGCAGGGTGCGCCCCCCTTTCCCTCCGCCGGGTCCCCGCGCAGGGTGCGCCCCCCTTTCCCTCCGCCGGGTCCCCGCGCAGGGTGCGCCCCCCTTTCCCTCCGCCGGGTCCCCGCGCAGGGTGCGCCCCCCTTTCCCTCCGCCGGGTCCCCGCGCAGGGTGCGCCCCCCTTTCCCTCCGCCGGGTCCCCGCGCAGGGTGCGCCCCCCTTTCCCTCCGCCGGGTCCCCGCGCAGGGTGCGCCCCCCTTTCCCTCCGCCGGGTCCCCGCGCAGGGTGCGCCCCCCTTTCTGACTTTGCGCAAAAGGCTTTTTTTTTTTTTTTGAAGCCTACGAAACTAATCAGGGTCTGAATGTCTTCATTAGCACGTGTTCCTCCCCCAGGGATTCTTTTAAGTATGAAGAAATCTTTTTCATCTGTTGGGTTACACGTAGCTGTCTGCCTGCCTGTGGTAAAACGAGTTTTGTAGCTTGCTTTAAGCCTGCAGGTAGGCTCTTCGCAAGAGAATAGCTTGGTATTGTCCCGTAATGACATCTAATCGCTTGGGGATGGAGGAGGCACCTGGTTTTGTTGCAGGCCATCGGTTCCATCCCTTTCCACCAGTCCTGACCGTTTCACCCAGTAAGTTTGCAGAGTAAATAGTTCCAAAAGTCACCTCTGGCTGCCCGTAAGTGTGTGCCCGGCCTCTCCAGGTGCAGCCCCAGTGCTTGAGGGAATACGTGCTCTGCATTTAATGAGACTTCTCAGTGCTTTTAGAAAAAAGTGAAAATATTGCAAGAGTTTGAGAATTAAGTGGAGCTTTGACAAGGTAGTATTCAAAAAGTGAGCTCCCGAATGTTTAGTTTCCGGTTTTGGTTCATAATATTAGCATTCTATCTGGGAAAGGGATTTTTTTTTTCCTGTAAGATGGATCAGTACTATGTAAACTGCAAAAATATCAGTTTTTACAGATTATTTTGTAGCCTAAAGATTACGTGTCCTTAAGATGAATCCACAGCAGACATGGAGAAACTTGTTCCTTAAGATTTAAGTTGTTCAAAGAGAATTTGTTATTCAAATAGAACTCGGGTTCTGGTTTTCAAACCTGCAGTCCCAGGGAGGTCAGAAGGTTGATGTGTGCATGTAAGGGCCACAAGTCTCACCGCTTACATCAGCAATCAGTATCTCCATGAGCCCTAATATAAGTGATATATATGTTCGGTGTTGAGACTTTGACTAAAATCTGCTGAGAAGTTTAGGATTTAAGGCATAATAACTGTAAACCTGTGTGTTTTCTCTGGCAGTGGCCAGCTGTGCAGCCCTCTGACAATGGTTTTCCTCTCAACAGCACTGAAATTATTGTAATTGTTTCCCAGTTTAGAAGGATCCCTCTGGGAAGTCCCACGTGTACCTGAAATCAAGACTGTCCTTAAATTCTCAGGATTACTTCAGGGAAAATGTAATCTGCAGTGGTGTCAGAAATTAAGTTAGAGTCTTGCAATAAGGCTTCGTGAGATGGCTGAGCAAATCTAACAGCCCAATGCTGCTGTGCTTTGCCTCCCACCACTCCTAAAAGTTGTCATCTGCTAATCTGGCAGAAACTACATTAATTCTCTTTTAGTAGGTTAGCTTTCCCCAGCCAGCAAAGTCACGGGGCCTGGGCTGGAGAAATGGTGAGTGGGGCAGGAGCAACGTGGCAGGTGAGCTCACCTATCTCATAAATTTTCATGCTTATCCAGGCATGAGGCTCAGTGACAACATGAAAGACTGGTGATGAGGAAATAACTTTAAACTGGTATTACTGCTTGAAATCTCATTTCTTAGCACTAGAATTTTCAACTCAAATGGATGTTAAAGCATCTGTAACCTATAAATAGGTGCTCCTGGTTTCCTGCTTCGTTTAAAATGCTATGTCTAACCGTGAATCCAAGTGAAGCCTCCTCATGCTTTTCTTAATGGTATATGTGTCCTGAGAGGACTTAGAGATTATTTTTTTCTTAAGAAGAAAAAAATATTTTTTTTGGTAACTTGTAGTTCTAATTCTGCTCTTTAATTTGTTTGCATCTGCCTGCATCTCAGTGTTATCCGTGAGCTTCAAAAGCTTATCCCTGTCCAGTAGTCCAAGTCATTGATGACAAGTAAGTATTATTTTTGCCCCGGCTTTCTGAAATCTAGTCAAACTTAAGTTTTCAAAGGGCTTAGCAATAGTTACTCTTTTGGAATTGTTCAACTATTTTTGCTCTCCATCTACATATTTCTGTGATACAAAAATAGTTTATATTTTCCAGCTCTTGTTGGGAGCTGAGTGCCAAGAGGATATGGGAGAGACTTTGTGGGAGAGGGGAGAAGCTCTGGAAGACTTACAGGACAGAGAGAGCTGCTGGAGTAAACTCTGCTCTGCATTTAGTGTGCATTGCTGTTAAGTTTTAATGGCAGAAAGTTGCACAATGTGCATGGTAGCTCTCATGAGAGTCCAGTTAAAAACTTAATTTAAAACATCAAAATAGATGACATTTTCAGTCTCCCTTCTATTCATAAGACTCGCTTTTCTTGTTTTGACTGGCTGACTTTCTTCCCTTCTCCCACCCTTTCTCCAGTTTTCTTCTACTTGAGGAGAATGCAAGCATCTCCTGGTAGCAAAGCAAAGCCTTTTTCCTTTATCTCTTTTGGTATCACCAGTTAATTGAGTCGTTGTTACACAAACATTTAAGCTGGTATAAACTAGTACTGCCGCTGCCAGAAAGCTGCTGACTGGCTCCCAGACAGTTCTGCTTTTGGATCAGCCCAGATATTCTTGCAAGTACCAGGTGAGGTAGTTGAGGGACCTGCAGTGGCTGTTTGCCTGCTGGGCAGCTGAACATTGGTGACAACTGAATAGTTTTGGAGCTGCATTTGAGTCGATGCAGGAGGGGATTTATTGCAGGAATTTCTGTAATAATCAGTGATTTTTCTCTTGGAATAGCATGATCCAGAGAGGCATGGTATCAGGAGTTGTTACAGTATACAGTGATCACACGTCAGCGTCTTCCCGTTGGCTGTGTGTAGAGTCTCAGTGGTAAGCTCACTGTGGTGAGCACCTTTTGGTCACTGAGGGATGCCGTTTACATGTACTTAGTGTGGTAAATTTCTCCATAGGTGATGACAGGCAGTAACTTGCTATCCCATGTAGCTTTGATTTTTCCCACCTATGGTGATCCTTAGATTTTAAAATCCCAAAGGATAGAAGATGCCTGTGTCGGATTTTAGTTAGTGGGATGTGTGCCAATTGACTAAAGTATACAAAGTGTATATATATACAAACACATAAAAATATAAAAAGAATATATTGACCCCTAGAATTTATTTTTTTTTGCTGTGGAATTAATTCTTCTTAGGTATGGCTTATGTGTTTGGTGCTGGTCAGTGGAAGATTCCACCCAGCCATGAGGTAGGTTATGGATCTTTGTTCTAATCCCTCGAAGCTTAGACACCAGTCTAGAAACTGCAGGTGTTGTTGCTGCCTTTTTTGTGTCTTCAGTTGGAAGTGAGTCACTCTAGAGCTGTTACGGATCATGCGACTGCCTGACTTCCTCTCCGTTTCTCACCATCTTCCACCTCGTGGTTCACAAGCGGTGGCCTGTCCAGCGCTAGTGTGGACCAGTAGCAATGGCTTGCCTGTGCCACAGGAACATTTAGATTCTGAGGATTCAGGCAGCATGGAAGTTATTAGTCACCAGCAGCAATCTCGTATCTGCGTGGGAGATGAGTGGATGAGAAGGTGCCCTGTGGTGGAGCAGTGGTTTCTGTACCCCCTAAAGCAAGAGGAGGGACAGATACCAACAGTGCTCTGACCAGTTGTCACCTAGGAACGCTTCGCACACCCTGGTTTCGTGGTGAGATCAACTTGCTGCTGAGCAAACATTAAAACTCCTCTCCAATATGCAGTCTCGGATCATGCTGAGCTTTTGTTAAAGAAGCTTAAATGCTTGGTAGTATGGTTTTTGGTTTTTGTTTTGTTTTGTTTGCAGCAGCAGTGTGTGATGTCCCTTGCTACTGTTGGCACCCTTGATGTTCTCTGCCTGGCAGGGTGTCTGGGAGCTGCGTGCCTCGCTGTGTCGGTGGCCTCGGTGTGCAGCTCTGTGATGAGGTGAT